TTTTTACCACAAAAAAATAAATAAAAATAATTTAAAAAAAAGAATTTGTAGAAGTGAGCAGATAGGCAAGGCTTCTTCCAGCCTTCAGTGATAAGAGATCTCAAGTAGTGTAAATAAGGACTAGATCACAATACAAACAAAACTCTACAGTTTGTTTTCCAGTTATATATATAATATTTTTTTTCTACTTGCTATATTCACAAGTAAATTGATTAATGGTCCTGACAAACATCAAATTGTGTGTTTAAACATATAGGCTATACATTTTCAATATTAATAATACAAACCATTTTAACATGCCTAATAATAAGTGTTTAATCAAGGCATAATTAATACAATTAACATAATCCTTTGATTATGTGTTCTCATTTAAATACATTTCACTATCATTTAATTCAACTGATCTTATCGGTTTAATATATATATATTATATAAAGTATGGATATAAAAGTATAAATATTTAATGTACAGAAATGCCAATTGCCAACTTTATTATAATAAAATATTTTTAATAATAGTACATGCAGTATGAATGATTCCATTTAGATTTTTACTTTTTTAAATTAAGAAATTTAACAATTTATTTGTGAGAAATAATACCGAAGCAATATATATATAATATAATAATAGAATCCTCCCAGATTATTGTCCTGAGCTAGAAACTGTACATATCTTCATCCCTCTAGATCTACAATCTCTGTGTTCTGTGATCTAGACAAGCCTCCCACGGCCTCCTCCACTAACACAATGATAGCAATGCATCAAGCTGAGAGGCAGTGGACAGGACTGCTCTGAGATCTTGACATTGAACTGGACACTGGCATTGAAGATGAAGAAAGAGCCTGGCAATCTGAATGCAGAAAGGATTGTGTCCTGCTTATTGAGGTAAGTGATAGAAGAGGTTACGGAATTGCCACAAAAGGCTTTCACATTGCTGAGAATGTATCATGTAACTGCTAACTTGACGTTTTATGTAAATGCCAACGCATTCTCACCCCAAGGCGTCACCTTTGACCATGCTTCAATATTTGACGTTTTAGGCGCCCTTTAGCGTCACTTACATGACGCGATCCTACGGCGTCATCTAACTGACGCTAAAGGAAAGCGTCAGTTAGAGGACGCGGTTAGGTTTAGGTGTGGGGTGGGGGTAGGATACACGCGATCCTAGGGCGTCATCTAACTGACGCTAAAGGGCGCCTAAAGCGTCAGATATTGAAGCATGTCCAAATGCTTCCCAAGGCGTCAGTTAGGTGACGCCTTGGGGGTGAGAATGGGCTGTAAATGCACACAGGGATATATGGTTTTGATTAAATGTATTGGTACAGGAATAAAATGTAGCCTATTGAAAATGCCCCCGAGTCCGTTAATTGTATTTTTAAGTCACTGGTGGTTCAATCAGAAAAATAACTTGAGAACCTACAGTCGAGACAGAATATTCCTGTAATACTAGTGGCTGGAATACTAATACAGCCTTTTTCCTTGGAGAGAATGTACTACCCTATAATTCCCCTAATGTAAAATATGCTTAATATGTCTATGCACACTAATCACTAAAGGTGAAGTTAAAGCTTAATTGAAATGACTGGACTGCGTGATCAGATAACAAATGAATTCCTGATTACGTATCATACTTAAAATATTGCCAGGATAGACACTTGTGTTGGTGAAGTTACTTTAAAACTCTAGCTGGATAAGCTACAGGTGGCTCATAATTTACAGCAGTTAAAGGAGTGGTTCACTTCAACTTATGCTGATAATTTACTCACCCCCAAGATGTTATCGTCTTTCTTTCTTCAGTCGAAAAGAAATTAAGGTTTTTGATGAAAACATTCCATGATTTTCTCCATATAATAGACTTCATTGGGAACCAAATGGTTCAAGGTCCTAATGAGAGTTTCAGTGGAGCTTCAAAGGGCTTTAAATGACATCAGAATAAAGGTCTTATCTAGGACCCTTCGAGTCATGACTCGAAAAGAGATTTGTTCATTTTGATGAACGAGTTTGAACAGGAGAGTCACAAACGCTCATAAAACGTAAACTTTTTTTTTTTTTAAATGAGTGATTGTTTCGCTAGATAAAACCCTTATTCATCGTCTGGTGTCGTTTAAAGCCCTTTGAAGCTGCACTGAAACTCTCATTTGGACCTTGAACCATTTGGTTCCCAATGAAGTGCATTATATGGAGAAAATCCTGGAATGTTTTCATCAAAAACCTTAATTTATTTTCGACTGAAGAAAGAAAGACATGGACATCTTGGATGACACAGGGATGAGTAAATTATCAGAAAAAATGTTTTTAAAAGGGAACTACTCCTTTAAACTACAACAAAGCGATACATTTCACAGAATAGTTAGCTAGATAAAATAATGAAAATATCCTTTAATGTACTATGTTAAAAAAAGTAATTAGGGAAAATATATACATAATATGAAAAATAATAGTCTTTAAAAATGATACGAGAATCGAGATTCAAAAGCTTTATACTGGGTATAAACTTTTTTAAAATGTAAACCATTAGCAGTGACATTTGGCAGCAAAACATTATACGTCTACACACTGCATCCTTAAATTGATGCTTTATGACACAGAGCTTTAATTTCCAGTTTGCATAAGCTCCATACAATAATGTGACCTATGATATTTGACTCTTGAGACACATATATTTAATAAATGAGGCCATGCATAGTTGTTTCCTTCGCTAATAATGTAAATTTCCAGATCCCCTATAGGAAATTGAGCTTGAAGGCTATAGGGGGCCAAAAGCCGCATGTGTTGCATGCAGATTTCACATTAATCATAAATGTGAAACATGGTAAATAGGGTTTACTTGACTCTTTCAGGCACATACATTTCAATAAATAAGACCATTGATATTATTTTCTTTCGCTATGTCCTCTCTAACACAATCTCCAGTTTTATTGTGAATAACTATAGGCTTGAAGACCATGGGTTCATTCAAGCCACACATAAGTCACTTAGAAATTGCATACTAATCATAAATATGAAACAAGGTAAATGGGGGGTAGCTGTGGAAAATGTAGCTTATTAGTTATAATGTGACAAACAACAGAAATGTAGCATTGCTAAACTCTACATTGCAGTTGTTTATATAACTAATAGGCAACATTTTCCACAGGAACCCCACAATAACCTTTTTTTTTTGTCCTACATTCATTACTTGTTGGAAAAATAGTTTGTTACTGGAAATGCTACTTTTTTGCTATACTTAATATTCAACAATATTATTGATCTGACTGTATTGCCACGGTTATATGAGAACTGAACTGGACGATGTTCATTTTTGTTTTTTTGCAGAACTGCTTTATAGATGAAATTGTAGTTTTACGGCTGTTAAAAACAAGGCTCACATATATGGTTTATACAATCTGATTCGGTTTAAACCACTTACACTGTGCTCAATCTTAAACACTTGTTACATTTCTGCTCTTCAAATAATGTAGTTTGGGTTTGATTTTTAGAGATATCATTAGAGTAAAGGATTTTACATATTGACCAAACACAACACACAAGACCAGTACGGCACATTGATGAAAACATTTATTTCTCTCCACATTGTAAAATCAGTCAATACACCCATGCATTTCCAAAGGTTGCATTTTGCACTGAAAATCAGAACATTATTCTCAATAGAATATAGTAGTATATAACCATAAATCTCTTTGTCTAGCTGGATCAGGCCATAGCACTTTGCCCACATCAGAGGCTTTGTCCTCACACAACAGCGAGGGAAGAATATTCTTAAATGGTGAATCCATCCTTGCACAGACCCACAGGCCTCCTTCATGGCTTGAATGAGGGATATCCTGACATAGGGCTGGTAAACCTTCCATCCCCATGCCGAAAAAAACTCCTCAATGGGGTTAAGGAAGGGATGGAATGGTGCGAGGTATTGGAATTGAAATTGTGGATGCTCATAAAACCAGTTTTGGACCAGAGCAGATCGGTGGAAAGATATACTATCTTGTCCCAGATGACATTGTATCTCATCTGCTCTGCATCTATTTGGTCTTCTGCTGCGACAATGTTGTGTAGTCCGTCTAAAAATGTGAGCATGTGGGCTGTTTTGTAAGGACCGAAGTTGGCAGGCTGGTGGAGGACCCCATTCTGCCTGATTGCAGCAAAAATTGGGGGACATTCAAATTATCTCTGTGGTCAATGATGTTTCTCTTTCTTCTTTTGTCAGGTGAAACGCATTCATATGGGAGTGGATCAGCATCATTTAGCAAATCTCTCTGGAAAAAAAGACAATATTTGGTAGTTCAATATGGGCCTACTATAAATTAAAATGTTAAAAGAGTCTGTGTGTTCAGAATACTAAAGTGTACATTACTCACCTGCACATATTCACGCCGCAGATATTTTACTCTTTCAGATGTACTCGGTAGAGTTGTTTCACCTGTATTTGATGTTTCTGAGGATTTACCACAGTGTTGAAAGAGAGAACTGATGGTTATTATCGAAAACCGTGTGGTCATCGAGGATGTTTGTTTGAATTTCTTTGAGACCTATCGCATTATTGCTCTCTCAATATCAACCCATTGTTTACAACGTGGTCAACCAAGGTTGCTCGAATCACATCTGATAAATGTGGTCCTCGTCTTCTGTTCATGTCCTCCTCCAGGTATACCTTTTCCCCTCTCTACCCCTCTTGCCATACCTCCCATTCTCTTCCTGCAATGTTGCCAATTTTGTTGAAGACTGGTAAACTCACCCGTAGCCTTTCTATAGAGCTTTCACCTGATTTTGTGGAGTTTACAATTAAACACCTACGTATTTGATCAATTGGTTCATAGGTGTGGTATTTTGGAAAGTAGTGCCTTGAAATGGCAAATAAGTGACATGATAGATCTGGGCTGAGGTTTAGCTCCTTGAGAGTTCGGTTTCTCTAACTGTGTGTTACTTTTGTGTGTAAGTATTTAAAAAAAAAAATCTATTTGCAACTTAATAGGGTACTTAGCAGGAAAAAGTTACACGTTTACCTGGCAAGGTACTGTCCAGAAGAGGGTAGCTCATGTTTATTGGGCTTGTCAAAGCAGTTGACCATGTTCTGGATGAGTGCCAGGTCCGGTCTCACCATGGTCGCTGCATACACAGCTCTGCCAATGAGCTGCAGGGTATCCCTGATGTAGAAGTTCAGGGGCTTGCGATTCACCTCCCCATAAGCCAGAAGACCCAGCGGGGAGCCAATGGAGTGTAGAGAATCAAGACTAAGAGGATATCCTATGACCCAGTGCATGGGGGGCAATGCAACGCTCAACTGGTGGGCACTGCGCAGCACCGTGGCCGTACATTCAGGGTCGGAGCTGAAAAGCACCACGGAAGACGCCGGAGCTGAAGGAGTCCTGCTGAGGAGCTGTGAGAGGAGCTCCATCACCTTGTCTTCACTTGTTTTTTCCTCAAGTCTGGACAGGTTGAGGGTCTCCCAGAGGTGCCAGTGGGCTCCATCCAGGCCTAGGTGACCTGACTGTTCAAGCTCTTCCAGCATTACAGTGTTCCCACCTCCTGGACAAAGAACTGCCGCTCCACCCTGCCAGCCTCCCTTCAGCAACACCGCTAACAGCAGCTCCGACAATGCAGAAGGCGGAGTCCGTGTCATCATCTGCAAATGGAAGCGGTTCTGAAACCAGAGAACATATACAGTTACTATGTGATTATCAAACCACAAAGTCTTTGATACAATTAAATAGCTAAATGTGAGGTTTGTTTTTATGGTATCACATGCTGCCACATACATGTTACTTTTTCCACTCAATTGTGTTGTAATGACAAGATGTCATATAGTTTGAATATATTTTCTCATAATAATGAGATGTTATGTTGTTGAAACAATCTTGTAACAACGTTCGTTGTTATGGGAAGAAAAAGGCGGGAACTGGCGAACATTCCAAAGATTTTATTAAAATAAATAAACAAATTCAACAACAAAAGTAAAAGACGTAAAAGTCCCTCACGGTCGACTGCCGCCACACATAATAAAACAAAATCAAATAAATTAGTAGAGGCCTGGTCCCCACTCTGTAAAGCGACCTTGAGCTTTGGAAAGGCGCTATATAAATAAAACTTCTTCTTCTTCTTCTCTCAATCTCCACTTTCGTAATTGATGTTTTAAGGAATGCATAACCTTGTCCAATTCTAATTCTAATACGGTGCAGTGTGATATGTTGTTTGCATTCCATTCTTGCATGTCTTTAATAAACAAACATGGTCAGTATATAGAATTTCATGATTGTGTTAGGTAAGTACAATAAATAACAGTTAGTTCATCAATAACTAATAAATTCTGTCATACCTCCTGAAAAACTACCATTAATTATCTATTAATTAAGGTTTGAAGAAAAATAACTATGAAAAAAACTACTAATGAACAGTCATGCACAGTAGCACCACAATAATCCAGTTTTTTTTTTTTTTTTTAGCATTGTAGTGGTGGACGAACTACACAAATCAAGTGCTTGAGTTAAAGTACAGATACCCTAAAACATATTACTCCAGTAAAATTAAAATTAGGCCATTTTCAAAATTACCTTAGTAAAAGTACAAAGGTAAGTCATTTTAAGAACTAAAAAAGGTAAAAAGCATATGAATATACTTTGTTCTTATAGCCTACATTTTAAACTTATTTTGCACCATTCAAGCTCTGGCAATATAACGGTGGTCTACATTTTACAGTGATTTGGTGATGCAAGAGAGCGGGCATTTGCATCCTCTTATGGAGAGCTCTCAGCGCATGAAATAGAAGAAATACAGGTTTGTGTATGTTTTATTAAATCTAGAAAATCATTGCTGTGCTGTAAATCATTTTATTTTATGCAAGGCACCATACAGTCAGTCTTTTTTGCGTGATGGAAATGCCTGTTCCCTTGCATAAAACAAATTATTTTATTCATAAAGATAGTAAATCTATTTACATCATGTTAAAATATGTTCTTAGAGCTGTGCACTGTTTGTTTATGGGCAGGTTATGGAGTCATTCACTGCATATTTCGATGAGTGAAACGCAGGGCGGCGGTCTGAAGTTAATGAAGAATTATCTACTAGTTCTTCAATAATTTCTTATTTATGCAGTAAGTAAGAAACAGTATTCTAAAGTTTTACCATCACTATTACCCGACTAATTACGGTTGATGTGATGTATCTGTGATGAACTGTAGCCTACATAAATAAATCATCACAATCCAGCACTATGGGCTACAGTTAAAGTTTGGATAATATTTAAAGCTTTCAACTTTTTTAACATGGACTGTGTTTCTCAAGTTGTCACATCACATACAAAATATGTGTTTTTAACAATTTAATATCTTGTTATAATGGGAAATGCATATTTTTTTTATGATTTTTTTAAACATTTTATGAGAAAATGCACTGTTTTAATGACACATTATTTTATTACGGGAAAACATAATTTTAATGTCAACATCTTGTTATTAAAAGAAACAAGGTTTAATTGAGAAAAATATATTGTTTTAATGATAGCATCTCATTATTACACTCTAAAAAATGCTGGGTTGTTTTAACCCAACTTTGGGTCAAATATGGACTAACCCAGCCGTTGGGTTAAATTTTTACATTACATTTTTAACCCAACATTTCGGGTTTGTCCATATTTGACCCAAAATTGGGTTAAAACAACCCAGCATTTTTTAGAGTGTAGGAGAACATTTTAATATGTATATTTTTTTTAAAAGTGAAATCTTACAATAGCAATATTTCTATGTTTTATTTTTCCATTTATTCACTTAACCAATTATTATTTTTATTCATATGATATAAATCACAAAATATTTGACCTTATTGTAAAAAAAAACACAGCAAACCTGAAGCATTAAAAAATATTTCAAACACACATTTCAAAAATCAAAAATGCAACTTTTAATAAAGAAAAAAAACACACACCATAATATACAACGCATTCTCACCCCAAGGCGTCACCTTTGACCATGCTTCAATATTTGACGTTTTAGGCGCCCTTTAGCGTCACTTACATGACGCGATCCTACGGCGTCATCTAACTGACGCTAAAGGAAAGCGTCAGTTAGAGGACGCGGTTAGGTTTAGGTGGGGGGTGGGGGTAGGGTACACGCGATCCTAGGGCGTCATCTAACTGACGCTAAAGGGCGCCTAAAGCGTCAGATATTGAAGCATGTCCAAATGCTTCCCAAGGCGTCAGTTAGGTGACGCCTTGGGGGTGAGAATGGGCTGCAACGCACATATCTTCAGGCTCCAAATGCATATTGTATTCCCTAATGACAATACATTTCAATAAGTTAGAGGGAAGTCTGGAGAGAGTGTTAGATCTCCTGTGACTTCCAAATCCTAAAGCTGCCTTATAGGCAAATAGAAGAATATATTACTTACTCTGAACTTATGGTGACCTCATACTCAAGAACCCTGAAAACAACTACACTCCTATAGACGCAATCTTGGACGCAAACAGTTAAATCCCTTGAATGAAAAATAGACACTAAAACAGTGAGGAAGAGCCGTCAGCTCTCATCCGAAATAGCTCCTGGCCATCTCTACACAGACTCTCTGCTGTTTTTGATGTGGACTGACAGGGAGACGTGCATGAATGTGCTGTGAGAGTGAAAGATGGGATGTTTGGGTGTTCTGAGAGGAATAGGGACTGTTTGAACCTGGTGGGGGGCTGTTAGCGAGCAGCACGGGGCCGGAGAGGAGTCCCCACGCAAAGTTAAAACCTGTGTGACTGGAATAACATTACCGCCAGCGGCTCTGACGTGCGTCACTGTGACTTTCACTGCTACTTAGGGCACACATAAATTAACACGCACACTGACGACTCCATGCCGTGATGCCAAACAGGATGAAGTTGAAAACAAAATATAAAAAAAAACACACCGTTCATTTGGTGTCGAAGTTCTGCTCTGCTGAAACAAAAGAACAGGACTTAAAAAAATAGAAACGGACCAAGGGGGTCCCGGGATTGTGCTGCGTACATATGGGAGCTTAGATAAGAAGAGAGAACTGGGCTGGCTTATCTTTTATTTACCAGTATATCCAGGTGATGCCAGGTGAATAGCAAACAAACAAACAAACACCTTCTATGTGAAGGCAAACCTTCAGCCTTGAAGCCTCTCATTGCTCAATCGATCTGAAAACAGTCGCTCCTCCAAACAATACCTGTGAACGGCAGGACATTAGCCGTCTCACTTCTAAATGGATCCACAAGCTAACAGCCTCTGAACAGCATGAGCAGTTTGATTTGTTCTCTTGGTCTAGGAAGTTTAGCGGGAAACGTCTACTTCCATTTCCACTTTTCCCACACCTTGCAAGCAATTTTCACAATCTGTCTTAACATCAGGGAGAAATAAATGGGTGCTATTTTTTAACTGACAGCTCATAAATAACCCAAATGTTGTAGAGTAACATTTCGTTAATATCCAATACGGCCACATACAGGTTTTGCAGATAAATACAAACTGTAGTTTGGCCATCAAATTATCGTTCAGGTGTAGAGAAGGACGTGCTGAATCTCCCTGTCACTCTCACACAGCAAAAGTAACTGATCCATAAACAAACGATATTTTATAATTGAGCTGAGAAATTGGAAATTACTGTCTATCTTCCTGAAACAGACGCTAAACTCTTGTAAAAACCCAATGATTTCTGCTCCAATAGCTGATAAGCTTGTGTGGTCACTAATTTTGAAATTATTTCACAGCTTCTGCATTTAATTATGAAAAAGAGAGACAATTCAGCAATACCACTGCATAATTTGCAAAACCACATATTTTTCATAAATGACTAGTCAGTAAGTTGTCTGAATCACTAGCTGAATAGTCAGTATTAAATTAATAGTTTACTTAATTTGGTGCCCTGGTAAATCGTCTATCATACATAATAAAAGGAACAATTTGAATGGTATTAATAGTGAAATAAGTTTTAAAGAACCAGATGGTCTTTGACAACTGGCAGCAGGGGCTAACGGGTCCATTCTAACAGCCCAATCTCCATTCCTTGGGTCTTGCCTACAAAAATAGCTTAAGGGAGCACAACAGATTGAGACAGAAATCAGGCGTCAAGACGCATTTCTAAACCAAAACTATTTTTAACTTGACATGCCACATCAAAAACACAACATTCACGGTTCAAAACGTGATGCAAAAGCCTAAGATTTTTGTCTGCAACTCTGCATGTGTACACAGAACAACATTTTAAAATAGTGGAGACTGAACAGTGCAGTAAATGGTCCTCAAAATGTCAGATATTCAAGAAATAATTAGGTTAAATATCTATAACCTTTAATTCCACACAAACATCAGGCAACACAAAAATAGTGAGTTGGAATTAAGCAAAACAGTAGAACATTGGTCACATCAGGTGATCTAAGGCCTCCATAGTAATTGTCTTGACATTTAAAGGTGGAATTGTTACAAGAAGCAGTGTTTTGATACCGTGCTTCAAAGTGAATGAATTCAAAGACCAACTTTCTGAGGCACGATGTTCGAAATGCTAACGTCATGCTAAAATTCCTCCAAAAAAGAAAAGAAAAAAGCTCTAGACCTTGTCAACCTCACAAATTCAGAAATTGGTTTGTGGGCGACTAGTCAACCATTCTGACTCATCCCTACACTGTAATCAACTTTGGTTCCACAGCAC